GGCAATATACGAAGGTCAGGGTCTGAGAACTGACGAGCATATCACAGATTCAGACAGTTGGCACGCTCCTTATCACCCTTATGAACATTGCCATCGCACTCAAGAACGGGAGATATGTGTGCTGATGACTTCAAGGACTTAACAAAGGACCAATAACGTTTCGGGTTGTCATTAAAGTCTCGCACTAGACCCAGCAAATACTCGCGATATTCAGCATCAGCTGCTGTTTTGAAGTCGGCTCTAGCAGTACGGTGCCTAGCAATATGTTCGGTGGTAGGAGGCGCTTTCTTACGTCTGTGAGCCATCTCCGTGTCACGCAGCAAGTCTCGAACGGACCAGTCAAACCATGGAGGAAATTTCTTTCGGAGCTCAACAACGGGTATGAAGTTTGCAGTGGCGGCGAATGCAAGATCACAGACCAGATGGACAGCATCATCAACACTTAAATCACTTATAATACGCCAAAGAATAAACCCGAGAGCAGTGCGCAGACCGTCAAAGTTTTCCTGCTTGTAGTTGCAAGCCTTAGATCAGGAAGGGTGGGTGGCCGACCCACATTTTACAGATAACTGATTCGTCACCATACAGTGGTCAGAGTTGAAAGTACCTTTGTCGACCTCAGATGCAGCAGCTCCACTATACGAGGTGGCGAGGTCCAGGATATCTTCCCCGCGCATTGGTGACGTTACAGATTGCACCGCTTCACACTCAGCGACAGAGTCTAGGAATTTGACGGCTCGGACGGTGCGATGAGTAGTGTAGCTTCGTCACCATTACACTGCCACCATATCTCAGGCAAAGTAAAGTCGCCCACGATGAGAAGCGGTAGATTGGCGGAGCGAATGCTCTGGAAGAAGGCAGCGATCAAATACACGCCACGGTCAGCATCTGGCGGCGGTAGCAGACAGCCATGATGATAGGGTGGATGGTCTCCAGCTGGATCGCCAGCACCTCGCAGTCGGCTCCAGGTCTGGTCGATAAACAGGTGGCAGGCTTGTCTTCACTGCGCAAGCAACGCGTCCTCCTCTGCCGTTCCTGTCCCTCCGGAACCAGACATGGTCCGAGAGGTCCAGCTGTAGCTCAAAATCCACTACATGTGGTCTGAGCCGTGTCTCGGTCAGACCGACAACATGAAGCCAGTTCGCTGGCACAGTGAGAGCGCAAAGTGCATAACTCGTTCTTCAAGCTGCATACGTTCTGGCAAAACACTCGCAGCGTTCTCAGTCTGTGCGGCCCTGGGTTCACTTCCACATCTCCAAGGAGAAGGAAACTCGCCAGAAGCCAGCAGCACCAGGTAGGTTTGATGGGCTTGCGTTGATACTGCAGAACAGACGGGAACGAACCACTAGGTCCGAACGCGGGGACAGAGACAGCGGCGCTGATGGCATTAATTATTGTTTCTTATCATCGCAGAGGCCATTTAATGCCAGCAATATAGCAAACAGCGGGGGTAACGGGAGTTGAACCTGCGACAGCTCAGCAGTTGCACACCAGCGCAGCAGGGCGCGCAGAGACAGACGCGCTATTCCGTGGCCACCGGTCCGCGGCATTTGTGATGCCGCAGGCTTGTCGGGAGTTGCGTCGTCTCACTGTCTTCAGGCGGGCCCCAGCGGCCATGACAGTGTCCGGCACGCCTTTCAAACACTCACCAACGCTAAGGCCTATCGTCGAAAGCGTACAGTATTTTCTTCGGACCACAACTTCAAAAGTAAACTAAACGTCTACAAACCGAGTTGGTCACTCAGCTGAAGACCTTGACAACACGATGCACCCAAATCACCCATATCCAGGAACGCCACAAAACACCACCACTCCCCGCACCAGCTGGCCACCAACTCAACTCAATGTTTTGGAAAGAAGTACTTTTGGACGCTTTAGGACACACAATCATACATACAGGTATTCCGGGCGTATCTTTCACCGGAGCGGTTTTCATTTTAATGTTAATAACAGAGTGACCTTAACAGCGCCGCGTAGTGGTGCTGGAATCTGGTGGTGAGTCTAAAGACTAGAGGTAAAACCTCTACATTTCGTTTTGCTATTAATCTGTACAGTAGACAACCTCAAAGTTGAAAAATCGCACAGTGCTATTTTTGAGCTTGCAAAAATAACACTGAAAGTGTTATTTTATATTCCATTTAGTTTTGAGAGGCATTCTGTAACATTATACTACGATGGTCCCTAATACGCTCACGGCATTAGGCATAGGACGTCGCACGGCATATGACGTCGTTACGCGTTAATACGCGCACGGCATATGACGTCGTTACGCGTTAATACGCGCACGGCATATGACGTCGTTACGCGTTAATACGCGCACGGCATAGGACGCCGCCTGCCTCGCACCCCGGCGGGAAGGGCGGGCACCGCGTGGGATCGAACCCCGTACCTCTGGTTTCTCAGACGCCCAGCGGTTGACGAAGGTGCCTAAGTCACTACTCTGTCGGTGCCCGGCGCGCAGGCTCAAACCTCTTGATGTTATTTGTTTTACTAGTCGATTCTGCAAAAGAAGAAATATCCTCAGGCAAACATTGGATGGCCATGTGCATTTTTGAGCTCATTTCGACCCGCTTCATTCAACATTAATGATCCCCTCATTTATTTCCGGTAAAGGAGCCCCTTGAGTAGAACACTACACGGCACATCGTTGTTCTGGTCAAGGGCTAAATGACCATTCTGTTCCACTGCGGTATGTCCTCCGGTCGTTATTCTGGCGGCACGGGGCGGGATCCCTTGACAGATCCGCAGGTCCATAGAGAGATAAATCATATCAAATTGGTTTGTTCCCTGACGCGGGGGGCCCTCTGACTCGTGCAGTTGACCCTTGATCGCACATGATTTGTCACTGACGCAACAACATCTCTGATCGCTGCAGGTAGTCAAATAAGTGGCACATGGACTCCAGTTCAGCTTAACGGGTCCATGCTGGAATTGGGTTGGAGGGCCCACTGCTCGGTACTGGAGGCCCTGACTGGCACAGCACCCTTCTATTACTCCATGCGAGCATTCGTCATAAGTTATGTTTCCTTTAATCATTAGAGGGCCCTAACCAGCACAAGAGACCCTCTGTCATTCGGGCTCCCGTCCCCGCCCCTCTTGAGCAAATCTTCTCCTGACCGATTCAAGGTTCTTTGTTGGCACAGCATACCCTGCTAGGCACTGTAAGCCTCTGGTTGATACAGGAGGCTCGGCCAGTGTAAATCTCGGGCCCAACCTCGTCCCTGCTTGGGAAATGGCCCCCAGAGCTCAGACCAACACGAGCTGACTGTTCGTTTTTTGGTGATGTCTGGCCGAAATAGAGGAACGCTCTGTCTCGGGGGTCTCTATAGGTGCAAGAAATTGTCTTAATGACATTTAAGATGATGGCCCTATGGGCAGAGGTCCTTAATCTGACCTACAACCAGCCCTTTGCGCCCTTCAGCCTTCCAATCTGGATCTGTGCTCTCAGGACACCCTCCAGCCCTTCTTCTGGCCCCCTCAAGCACCGCTCGGACTCGACGCCACTTGCCGCCGCAGGACCCTTGGTAGACGCTGTAGCTCTTGTCCGCCACAGGACCCTTGTTAGACACTGTAGGTCTTGTCCGCCACAGGAGGTCTTGTGTCAGGGACCCCGAACATCGCAAATCGTGGGTTCTGCCTCGTTTCTGCTTGGGAAACGGATCCAAGGGCTCAGATGGGCATGGGGCCGACTTTTTGATGCTCGTGGTTTCGGATCGACTTAGACACCCGCATTGTCTCAGGGGTTCCTCAAACGGTGCAGGATGGCCTCTGACTGATATCTCAGGTCACGACTCTATGGGCTGTGATTCTTTATGTGACCTACAGCCAGTCACTCGGGCCCTTGTACTCTCCAACCGGGCCTTTGATCGTCGGCTCCGGTGGACCGTCCGGGCCCCTCTTCGGACCTCATCGAATACTGTTCTTGGTCAACTCGGGGCCCTTGCTAGTACAGGACCCTCTGTCTGGCGCTATGAGCCCCTGACTGGTACAAGGGCCCCGATCAGTGTAAATCACTGGCCCCGGCTCTATAGCTGACTGGGAAGTGGACCCCCAGGCCCATACCGATGCAGAGCCGACTGTGTGGTGCTGGTGATATCTCACCGACATATCATATATATATATATATATATATATATATATATATATATAATATATATATATATATATACATACATATCATATGTACATATCATATATCTCACCGACATGTCGAATCATGGGGTCCCCGAACGGCGCAAAGGATCCTCCGACCGTTATCTGAGAGCTCGTCTTCGCAGGCCGAGGCCCCTGAACAAGACTGCGACCAGCCCTTTGTGTTCTTAGACCCTCCAACCGGGCCCTTGATCGGCGGACCTGACGGGTCCTCTGGGCACTTCGGGCCTCCTCGAACACTGCCTCTGGCCGACTCGGGATTCCTGGTCAACACAGGGCCCCTGCTAGCCGCTGCCGTGCGCTGACAGATGAAAACGTAAGTCGCTGGTTGCAGCTTTGTTCCTGCCTGGAAAAAGGGCTCATACGCCAGTGCCATCACAAAGCCGACTGTGCGTCACTGGTAGTGTCTGACCGAAACATAGGCCTTTATCGCACATAGGTAGATAGTTTCTCGATTAAAAAATAAAAATCTGAAAATGAAGTTACCAAAATCCGGGGCCTTTTTGAGAATAAAGAGCGGGAAGGGGGCACCACAGTGGAGCGTGGCCCCATCCCTTGACGAATTCCTAGCTTCGCCTATGCATGCGTCATGTTTGTGAGCAATTCATAGCGGGGCGGCTGAATAATGATCTGCTGTTTGGAAAAATGTCAATTTATGCCAAAAACACAGAAGGACACAGCACCAACTGCATTCACACGGTGTATAGTTCTCTTCATTTTTCTACTTCAGGAGTTCAGTAAACCCTTGATGTTTTGTAGTTTTTGGTATGTGCTACACAGCGTTCAAGGTGAATAAACTTGAAGTCTGAATGTGCGGCGTAAACGGCGTGAAGAGATGTCTGGGAGGAAATGAGGCATTGGAGGCAAGGGGGAAGTGGCTGGTGAGGTGGAGTGCGCAGGTTGCAAACGATTGTTCTGTACCTGAATAAGTGTAGAACACCTAGGTGTGCATTGATTAAGTTGTAATCTGGCTGGGACATAATCATTTGGAGCGCCACGTTTTCACGTCTGCTTCGGCGGATTTGAGCTGTTAAGCAATACTTCATTCGAAGACCAGAAGGATGGTTGACAGGTTAGGTAAGTTTTCCAGTGTGCTTGAATCTATCTTGAAAATAAGCATTACACACCTACAGGCACCTATGTAATCCATGCCCAGGGGTGTAAGTCTGTGGTAATGATGAGGAAGGCAGAGCTTGTTGCCAGACCAGCTAGTATTCCCAAAAGTGTGTTTCAACTGATTTGGCCCACAATGCGAATGCAAGCAAGTTTTGTTTCCTAGCTCCTGAACCATTTGTGAATGAGCCCAGCATTTTTCAGCCTTGAAGTCATGGCCATCAGATCCAATAGCCTCTTCACTGCTCCAGCTTGAAGTGATGTTTAGAGGGGACCAAAAACAAGCCACTAAAATGGCTTAATCTCTGATATATTGTGATCATCAAATAAGAGTAATCAGAAGATGAAGTTAAGATGGAACACAGAACATCAAACATAGAACAAAACTTCAACTAAAATTTAGTAATGGCAGAATGTTGTTCCTAATAGCTCAGCTAAAGTGCCACCTTTTGATCCACCTACCTTGGCAGAGTGGGTTTGAGTTGCTTGAGGCAGCACACACTGTTTACCCCTGACAGGTTCAGTCTGGTAGCAGGAAGTGATCCAGAAATCAATTATTCAAAAGAAAGGTTTGGACTACATCTTTAAAAAGAGGATTGTTAGGTTTTGAAACAAGCTCTATTGTGAAGGCCTGAGAAGGGCTCTGCATACCACTAAATGTCTTGATCATCACCAAAGCAAAGGTAGCACTATTCCCAAGCATTCTTAATATCCACACCTTCAAAACCAAAAGGTGGTGTGTACATGCCCTCCAAAACTGAGGGTGGTTATGCACAGGCCTGTACATCCTCAGAAATGGGGAGAGGCTATACACTGGGCCTATACAGTGGTACCTCCCCCCAAAAAATCTGCAGATTGAATGAATTACTCACTGAAGTAATGAAGGGGTAGAGTCATGAGTCAAAGATAACAGGTAATATTGGCTATAGGCATCAGATGGTCATCATACTATCCCCATCTAATCAAAGCCAAATTTCTGTATTCCTGAATTGTAGAACTTTGAGCCCAGGGCACAGTGGCTGGGTGGTTAGTGCATCTGCCTCTCATGCAGTTGGCCCAGGTTCTAATCTGGTGACATTAGGGTCCCTGAACAATAGTGTGGTCAGCACAGATACATGCATCTCATGACATTTGAATGATGGCATAAGTAATGAACATATTGCCACTCTCTGAAAAGAAAATATAAGTAGTGATTATATCACAACTGTCTGAAGGAAAAACCCCTGGTCAAAAGTACTGGACAGTGGTGCAGTTTTCTACTATGTCCTTGAGAAACCCCTCCCTCCCTTATTTGGGCTCCTCAAAGAAAAAAGACCAAATGTGAGGAGAAACTTGTTACTGTAAGTTGTGGAGATGCTTTTGTTATTTTCCACTTTTTTGCCCTCCCTGTACTCAGTTAGCCCCTGATAGCAGACTGTCATGGAGGGAAAGTGACCCATCCTGAGCCTGAAGTATCATTCAGGTGACCATGAAGAAACCTCAAATGGAGCACCGTAACTCCGATATGGGACCTGAAGGGCTGGCTAAAGGTCGTTGAGGGGGCGCGGGTCGGACCCTCAGATACCAGCCAGGGGGCCCGTTGCACTGATTGGGCCCCGACCTGGGCCTGGGAGCCCATTTTCCAAGCAGGGGCAAGGTCAGGACCAGCGATTTACATTGGTCGGTGCATCCCGAGCCAATGAGGACCGCTGTGTCGGCCAGGGGCACACTGCGCCTAACAGGCAGAATGGCAGCTGGTAGACACCTGGGCTGGGACGGAATGATGTGTAAGGAATCGCTCGGAAGGGTAGTGTGCACATAACTTTTACTTATTGTGACTCACGGTTGAACATTCCCAGATGAAAAAGGACTGCTTATGTTTATACATGTTTAAGGCCTCATTTATGTTTACGGTCAACGTTCACGGGATTTTCAGCGTCTCTGTTGAGTGTGGACACCCCCTCCCCTTGACATTAGAAAGTGCTCTTCCGTTCGGTACGAGAAGCCCAAGTTAGAATTTATTCTGCTTAGCTGTGAGGTGAGTTGGCATCATCATGCCACGCCAATAGACCATGACCCACCCACTTACAGCGGCCATCGTCGAGATTCGAACCCGGCCTATCGCGTGCAAGACCAGCACTCTAACCATCCATCCACTGGGGATGTGGGCCGGACAGCTGAAAATTCGTGGACACAAAATAACTGACTCAGAGTGGGTTGATCTGTTTCGTGATCGTCTTATGCGTATAATGTATTGAGCTAACTTTTCACGGGATTCTGCATGTTTGCACTCACTTCCATGCAAGACTGGCGGTCCGCGTATGCTTGACGCATACAACCATCTGAAAGATTTTTGGAGGGTGTATAAGCCATGTGCGTAGCCACCCTCCACTTAAGAGGGTGCATAAGCCCGGAGCATAACCACCCTCTGTTTTACATGGTGTATGTGCACAGCCAAACCCAAACTTGAACCAAAACAGTGATCAAATATTGGAAGTACTTGCCATTCCTGTCCCTTTTTGGTGTGCCACCATTGATGTGTTTGAGTGCATGTGCTTCATCCATTTATTGTGATCTCTGTTCTGTATCAGATTGCTGCATGATGCCATAAGTTTTCACTAAGCTGCCCATGACTTGATGGTGACCAATGCCATTGTGTGCACTTGCCGCACACAAATGTCTGGTTCTATGATCAGCCCATGCAGCTCATTGCCCAGAAAAAATATATATTCAAGGCTCAAATTTCCTCAGATAACATAGACTGCATGCACTGAGTGTAGTGGCTAACACATCTGCATTAGTCAGCATTAACCACTGTGTGTCTTGGAAGGCAGAGATACTGATTCATTTTGAGTATTCCAGTGAAATGCATTAGCATTGAAAGCAAGCAAATGCAGTCCTGAATTTGTATTACAAAAGGGGCTAGGTACTCACTAAACAAAATCTAGCATCCCTGAACCCATGCCTGGTCATTCTTTTATTGTGTCTGCTGATTATGCGGCTTAGTGTGTGGTAGCATAGCCCAAGCTGTGCACTTGTCACATACCACCAATCAGTACACAACCTACAGTGGGATGGATAGTAGGGATGGATCTTCATCTTCACATCCGTGATAAATCTGTCACATAGCTAAATGACCTGTGCTGTTTGTTAGTGTGATAGCATTCACACAAAGCAAACACTGACAGTGGTATGCCTGTCAGTCAACAACTTATACCATATCGTGATGGATATATACCATGGAAGAGGCATATTGCGGTTGTAAATGGACCAGCATCGATGTCAGAGGACAACACTATTCTGCTGGCGCCTGGTTTGGGCCACAGGAATGCTTAAATTGTTCTGAAATGAGGATCTTCAGAATTTGTGAAGGCAACAGTCTATGAACAACACTTACCAACAGTAAGTTCCAATAGATCCTGAAAGCTGAAATATATGTGATGCAAAATTATCAGTGCCAGGGTTCACTATCATTTCCAACAGGCAATCATTAGTGGAGAGATGAATGCAGGCTATTGGTGCAAAGTTGGTATTTTCCCATAAACCCAGTATTTTAATGAAATACAGAATGATGATTTCATTTGACCTGAAGTGCCTTGTGGATTGTGTGGGATTCAAATTGTTGTGCCTTTGAATTACATTTGAATCCACCTATCAGTGCTCACATCATAAGTTTAAATCCAGCTGTTGTCAGAATAGGATGTGGAACTATGTCATGGTAGTCTGTTTAAATCCAGCTGTTGTCAGAATAGGATGTGGAACTATGTCATGGTAGTCTGCTTAAATCCAGCTGTTGTCAGAATAGGATGTGGAACTATGTCATGGTAGTCTGTTTAAATCCAGCTGTTGTCAGAATAGGCTGTGGAACTATATCATGGTAGTCTGTTTTTAGTCTGATATTTAATCCATAATATAAACAGAACTACTTGATGTAAATAAGAAATGCTCTGTGCTTGCCATTTTTCAGCAATGCCAGTTTACATGCTGAAAGAAACAGACCATTCATGACTGTGAGGACTGTATGAAGATATTGGATATTTGCAATGAGGTCTCATAATACATCCCCATAGTTGCTGGAAATTGCTATTTAATGAGGATATGATGCTGTATTGGAAGATTTTTCAGCACCAAAACTAACCACAAAAGAAATGCACATCTCAGATATTTCAAAGCCTGACAAGACCACCTTCTAGTGTAAGAGGTGCTGATAATAGTAATGTAAATGTGAAATTGCCTTGGTTTTTTATTTTTGGGTTCAGTGCACAAATTGTTTGTGTTCTTAGCATCATGGTACAGCTGTTGACATATTCTTAGAAGAGCTGGTGTATGTTGACTAGCCCAGCCCAACACACCATTAGTGTAAAACAGCAGTATTCTGCTGCCTTGTTCCATCGCATTTAAAGGGTTGCTTCCTGGGATTTTGGTGTCAGCTAGACCAACCGAACAATCAGGAGCTTTTGAACAAACAGAATCGTTGAACTCCAGTATCGCTGTTGGAGTGACCTAAAAAATGTGAGCCATGTGCCTTATTCTTTAAAGATCACCTTCCCAAACCTTTACTTTTGGCTGGAAGATAGACAGTCTTGTTAGACGATTTAGTCTGAGCCTTTTGAATGGATGGATTTCTGGCATCAGAGCTCGCGCTAAGCCGTGTTTGTCACGTTAGCCCTGGCCTTTACCATCCAATCGTGCAACTTCGTGCCAACAAGGTTTGGTGGCGAAATACTCTGTATAATATCCAGTGAATACTCTTTTGCTGCAGTACACCGTACAGCCCGCCCTGCCCTCTGATGTCACCCGGCGTCACATTTAATATCCCCAAACGTGAAACATTCCCTTTAAAGGGAATGTTTCACAGTTGAGGATACGTCATGACGTCACCTGGCGTCACATTTAGTATCAAGCGTGAAACATTCTCTTTAAAGGGAGTGTTTCACATGTGAGGATATTGAAGCAGACATAAGTTATGATGAAACAAACCCACT